TGTGTGTGTGTGTGTGTGTGTGTGTGTTTGTCTTATTTAAAGAATGACCGAATCTAAGAGAAGCACTTTTTTATTGAAAATGTCAGTACATTTTCATTCCACAAGATAAGATTAAGATAGTTTATAACTCTACTCATGTATGAATGTGTTACATAATGTGTAATGATACCAGAAATAAGTATTTACAAAAGAGAAATAAAGATGAGAAGCTGATCCCTGCTGTCTGTGGTGCTGTCTTTTCTCTGCAGGTCTGTGGGGGCTGGTGAACAACGCCGGCAGGTCCATACCCATCGGTCCAATAGACTGGATGGATCTGCAGGATTTCACAAAGGTTTTGGATGTGAATCTGGTGGGAGTCATCGAGGTGACGCTCCAGACTCTGCCGCTGCTGAAGAAAGCCCAGGGCAGGGTGGTGAACGTGTCCAGTATTCTGGGCAGACTGTCTCTGGTTGGCGGAGGTTACTGCCTGTCCAAATATGGAGTGCAAGCCTTTTCTGACAGCCTCAGGTAGACGGACGAATAACAATTCATCACACATCATGCCAAAATGATGCTGTAAAGAAGTTGGTAGAAACAAAACAAATCTGTCATTTCAAATAGGTTACATATGAAATGTTCCCATGGGGTCATTTGGAGAAAAGTCAAGTTGAAAATAATAAGTGTTCAAAAACACTGCCATCATTATCAGCAGAACCATCAACAGAAAACAATGAGAAGAAGAAAGACAGAGATCGTCGCAAGTAACAGAAAATAAAAATAGGTAAAATAGCAGTATAGGCTTATGTCAGGATGTATTTAAAGGTTCAGTGTGTAGATTTTAATGACATCTAGTGGTGAAATTGCGTGTTGAAGCTGAATACTCCTCACCTCGTCCTCCCCTTCCAAACGTGAAAGAGAACCTGTGGAAACCTTTAGTTGTCATAGAAACAGTAAAAAACACGGCGACTTCCATATAGAGAACCGGCTGCTGATGTAAATATAAAGTAATTAGATATAAAGGTAAAGAAAACTACAATTTGTCAAATTTAGATGAAACACACTAGTGAAAACATCACTTGGATTATTTCATCATTTCATTGTACTTCATCTAAATCTTACACACTGAACCTTTAAGTTAATGAGTAAATGTACTTAGTAACTTTACACCACAGCTGTAAAATGTTGGCTGTTAGTAAACCTACTTTTAAAGAAAGATTGTTGAGAGAAGTAAATAAAAACTTAGTCGTAGTAACGAAACATTATTCTGTTTCTTCTGTCCAGGAGGGAAATGAAGCTCTTTGGTGTGAAAGTGAGTATCATCGAGCCTGGTTTCTTCAAAACAGCTGTGACACAGCTGGATCTCATAGAGGCCGACCTGAGGAGGCTGTGGGCCCGCCTCCCTCAAGATGTTCAAGCCTCATACGGAGCCTCGTACTTTGAAGACTGTGAGTGGAAGTTAATTTCATTCAGAATGTTTCTAATAATAAATACTCTGAATTACTTTCTCTTTCCTCTTGATCAGATGTGAAAGCTCAGGACTTCTCCATGGGTTTACTGTGCAGTCCAGACATCTCCAAGGTGACCAGGTGTATGGAGCACGCGCTGGCGGCTCGATTCCCCAGGGCCCGTTACAGTGCCGGCTGGGACGCCAAGCTCCTCTGGATTCCTCTGTCCTATCTGCCATCATTTGTTTCAGACTTTATCATTAACGTGCTTCTTCCTTCACCTAAAGATGTAAGAAGCATGTAGCAGACAAGTTGTAAATTAACGACTGACCTGTGGTACCCACATGTTTTTACTGTGATCTGTGTAAATGGATGAAAATAATTAATGTCATAAAAATAAAAAAGAACACATCTAGACTTTGTTACAAAATAGCAAATTTATTCATTCACGTCTCTGCAGCAGTATTTAAACCACACATTTCTCCATGATCACAGGTACAGTTTTAATTGGTCCTCATTAAGATACAAAACAGATCATTCTGCAAAGGATTCATTCACCGTGTTTATAAAATCTACATCCTCAGGTCATGCGTCGCTCTTCCAGATCATCGACTACATAAATTAATTTCCATGCAACATACATGGGGCGTGTTCAAGTATTGTCCCAAACTATTTTGGCCACTATTCCAATATCATTACTAGAGATAAAAACAAAATGATCACGTTGATTCAAAGTCACAAATTCAGGGAATGTAGGTAGAGATTAAAAACGTTAAGTATGTTTCACATGTGTGTTTTAGCTCATGAGTTAAAATCCACATGAGTTTGCTTGAATTCTTCAGCCCTGAAATGAGGTATATAAACGTGACAGATGAACAAATCCATCTTCAGTTTTGTTCAGTGGCAAAAATGTCATTATCCGATACTAATAACCTTCGATCATATAAATTCTGTACATTCAGAATGCTTTCATACGTGTTATTGTGTTTACATTGATCTATTCGTGGGATCTATTTCAAAGATATTTTCTGACCAAATCTTACTGTTCAAATTTACAAATATACAACATATTTATTAACATTTCTATCAGCAGCGTCAGTGCAAAGATATACATATTGTACATCAGAATAAAGAAAAGAACATTAACACAAGAATTGGCATAAGAAATGGCAGAAGGCATAGTCACAAGACTTTTTGAAGAAATGTACCTCTCTTTTCTAAGACAATTTGAATTTTGTACACAGGCTGCATAAAAAAATAAATTCTGTGCAAAGTGTGTTTCTTTTTTGTCCCGTCTGTGAGAGACGGGGTTATACGTCGCTGTCCTCTTTGACAAGGTTGGCTGTGTCTTTGAAAGTGTCCTCGGCTGGCGAAAAGGTGGAGTCCCCCCTGCTGCTTACAGGCTTTTCATCCTTCATCTGCAAAAACAATGCAGGAGGTGAAAACGAGGAAAAAAACATCACATTTATTTTTCTGCAACTTGTGTCTGAAAAAGATTTTTCATGTCTTAATTCACCTCTGAATACGAAGGGTTTTCAAACGTGGCGCTTGGCATTAATTTCCGTTTGAACAAGCTCCACTTTGACTCCTGTGAATGATCACAAATAATCAGTTGACACGACATTTGAAGAATTTAGTTTATATATGGTTTTATGTGAATAGATACTTTACCTGAACAGGTTTGGCGCTGACTGAAGACGTGTTCATGACGCCCGCGCTCTGATCGCCGTGAAACACCGGGTTCACAAAGTTGTTCTGCAGCTGTTCACCGCTCACATTCACAGTCACCTGTTTGAAAATACGTATGTAATGTCTGCTGCCATGACAACTGAATTAACAAGCTGCATATATTATCAAAATGAAGGGTTCATTAAATAAGATTTTGGCTTTTATCAGGAGAAACATGCATGTCCATAAAGTCTTCAGTGACCTACAATAAATAAATACCTGCAATGAACCAAACTCATGTAACAACATTGGAACCACAAATTTTCCTTGGGACCAGAAAATGACATAACTTACACTTCATATACGTATATATATACATTTGATATATATAAAGATTGTTTATATATTTATATTATTCACTTCACAGGGACAGAGCATACAAAACTAACCAGGTTACAAAACACCAAATTTAAATATACCTCAGTTAGCAAGAATGTTAATTATTGGGAGGTAAGAAAATAAAAAATATTAAAATGTTTCCATCATTTGAACGTGAAGTCAATGTGTGATAGAGATTCTAAAAGATAAGACACATTATTAAGGAGTACCTGTGTTGGATGAATGACAGCAGGATCAGCAGAACTTCCAGGTGCGTTGCTGTATAAAGGGTTCTCAAATGTGATTGGCTGCCCCCTAGTGTCCATTGCAATGTTATCATCCTATGGGATATGAGATAAATAAGATAAATCTTTCAGTGCATATTCAACCTCAAATGACTAAACAATTGTTAACTTTTCTCAATTGATGCTGAAACAAGCATCAATACTAAAATAACAGTTGTTAATGAATCAAATAGAGAACATGTTTGTTTGTGAGTTTAAAATGCTGATAAAACACTTGAGTAGATTATTAACTGCTAATAACGTTTCCTCCTGGACTCACCCTCTGCATGGCCGTGTCAATGAATGACACTCCAATGTGTGATGGTTCGAGGTCGACGTTATCACCTGAGCGAAATGTCACCCCGTTCCCAGTGTCACTGGACTTCACCAGGCTACTGATGCTGAACACAAACAAAAACACTCCAGTGAGCTTCAGTTTAGTTTCAGTTCATTAAAACATGCACTGAGTGGAAATGACAGAATCGTCAGCAAGAGCTGAGATACCTGGGTAGTTTGGGCATGGAGGGGATGAAGGATCCTGTTCGCTTGTAGTTGAGGAAAACTCCGACAACTAACACTCCGGTGATCAGGATGACAATGACAGCCAGTAAAACAGCCACAGCTACACACAGAGCAAGTGGAAGATATTCAGATGTTATGGGACATTGTCACGAAAAAGTGCTAAATAATATTCTCTAATAATATTTTGCTGACTGGTCCGTTACAGTTCATGGCTTCAAATAGACCCGTTATTTTGCTGAAGTTAAACATTGATCCATTCTAATATTTCTCGGTTATTTATTGAGCTCAAGTGGGATTTTCTTTGGGTAACATCTTCATTTTCTGCTGATTGAGGCAGTTTTCTGAGCCATTTGCTCTTAAATGAGAAAGAAGTTTGAGTTCATCACCTCTGGCCTCGATGTGCTTCAGTGAAGCCAAGATAACAAGACTGGTACTGAACAACAGGTCCCACATGACTGCCAGTAAAGTGAGAACGGATTAACCTAATCACATAAAACTCATGCAAACTACTTAGACCTGATTCATAAACGACATCACATCACCCCGATAGTGGCTTCTCTCCATCGGCTCTATGTTCATCTAACTACATAACAGAAATGTGGACCTCATATGAGCATGAGCTTCAGGAGAGATTTTACAGACTTGCCTTTATGGGATCTCATCTTTTTATGTTTTCTTATTGTTGCTATTATTTTAATCTTTATTAACTGCTCTTTCGTGATGCTGTCTTCTTATTGCTTCGATTTCTTCATTATTTTATTCATTTGACTGGATTTTTATGGATTTTATGATTGCCCCCTGGTTTCCTTGCTCTGTCAAATCACTTTTTAAACGACCTTTTTAAGGCACCATATGAATAAAGTTATTATTATTCTCATTATAAAATGATGGATAATATTAGAAACACGGTACCTGTTCCTGCTGGAGCTCCTTGTGACTTCCCCATCTCACAGTAGCTGCCCAAATAACCATATGGACATCTAAACAATACAACCAGAACAAATCTTTAATGCTGGGAGAACTTACAGTGGAAAACTTAATTTTACAGTATGTATGAAAACGGTTCATCAACAGACATTATGACTAATGGAGAATCATTCACTGGTATAAATGGCCCCTGCATACACACTCACTTGCACTTGGGCAGACCACTTTCATCAGTGTAGCAGGTTCCACCATTCATGCATCTACATGCAAGGGGCATTGGAACAGGAGGCTCAATGGCTGAAGGAGCAAAATGCCAGGTAGACATGGGATGAAAAATAAAAACGGCAAAAACAACATCACATCACAAGCTCACAAAAGCAACACAGGAGCAGCCAGGAGCAGACAGAGATTTAGAAATGTATGATGTATGCAAAATTATGCAGCTGCATGCAGCCAGGCTGTTGTTGTGGTTTACCTGCATCACATTCGTTGGAGTCAAACTCCACCTGAGAGGAGCCTTGCGGGCAGGCGCAGGTGTAACCGCCAGGCCGGAGGAGACAGAGGTGGCTGCACACGTTCTTACAAGGGTTCAGCACTGAAGAGGACAGATCATAGAAGAATAACACTGTTAGGTATGGTTCAATGCAAGAGAATGCTGGAGGATAAGCTTGTAGTGGGTTGATTATACATTTCAGAACACGTCACCACACCAATAAATCTTTTCACTATAATTGTTTAGAAAAAACTCTGCTCTTTGCTTCCAGGTTTCTTTCATTCATATAACTTTTTTTGTGTTGTGGAATTTCAGTGTGTGTGATCAAGGATGCATAAAAAAAATAAATAAGGGTTAAATTAAAAAACACAAGAGTATGTTTCTACACATATAAAAGCTGATCACTATCCTGTCTTATTTTCTGTAGTATTTGGTTGATAGCAAGTTACTATAAATACAATACAATTTTCACCAGTCCGGACCATGTGAAGACAGATGTGTTGACTGAAATATTCTTTGAGCAGTAGTAAATCTTCTTTCTTTTTCTACACAATCACTTGAATCCCTCTGTGTTCTGACCTGAGCGGTTGTGTCGGTGCTCCTGGTAAATTCGGACTTGAGTCAGCCACGGGTTGATGGTTAGAACTTTGACTTTATTTCCTTTTCCAAACTTGTTTGTCCTCCACACTTCACCTTTCTCCTTTGTCGTCCAGTACACGTGACCTTCGAAGACGTCCAGACTGTAGGGATGTCCAATATCTAGAGCAGAGAAAACACAATACTTTAATGCACATCTCACTCAGGCTGTACTCAACTTATCTATGATTTGAATAAAAACACTGGTTGCATCAGTGCCAGAGCTCCCCAGTATCTCAGTGTTCTGACCTCCCGATATGATGATGTTTCTGTCTGTGCCATCAGGATTCATGGACTCGATGATGTTTTCTTTTGAGTCGCACCAGTAAATCCTGTTTCCATTCAGATAGTCCAGAGTCAGCCCAGTAGGCCAGCCCAGGTCCTCCTCTCTCACCAGCACCACTCTGTTCTGACCGTCCATCCACGCTGATTCTATTCTGGGTTTCCTGCCCCAGTCTGTCCAGTACATCATTCTGGCATACACAAAATACACCATTTCTTTCAAGACCTAAAATAAGATGCAACAACATATTTTTAATACTGAAACTGAACAACCTCTTACCCGAGTGATGGATTGACAACAATAGCAGCAGGCTGGTCGAGGTCAGTGTGGATCAACCACTTCCTGTACCGCCCGTCCAGTTTGGCCACTTCAATCCTATTGGTACCAGAATCTGTCCAATATATGTGCCTGTAAATGGTCAAAAAGGAACCCAGTGAGCGGCTGAATGAAACTTAGAGTGGCCTTTATGTAAGTGATGTTTCAACCCTGGTATATTACCCTCCAACCCAGTCCACAGCAATGCCGTCAGGATTAGCGATGTATCTCAGGTTCAGATCCTGCTCTTTCACTGGGTTGTTACCGTGATCGTTGAACGTGGTCATGTAGGCACGTTTGATGGAGCCAAACTGAGAGCCTTGACCCAGAACTGTCCAGTACACAACACCTGCAGAACATCCGGTGTTACAGGTTATCCAAACTCTGAGATATTGCTGTTTTTATATTCACTCTGAAAGCAGAAGATTTAATGGTCTACAACAGCAGTATTCTTACTGAGGCTTTGTCCCTCTGGGTCCCACAGATAATCCAAGGCCTGGATGTGCTCCGCATTGTCCACATAGTCTGAATACTCCTCAGACGTCAGGTTGAAACGACGGATGCGAACATTGTCTGGCAGGAGCAGCACTGGTGGGTTTCCTGAGTAGAAGTTGAGATGTGATGAAAACTATTAGCAATTGCGATTCAGACTTTGGCTTTAATGAGAAATACAGGAGAATATGTGCACCTTCTAAGCATGAAAGTTTAGCTCTTACCCTGGGCAGCACACTCTGTCCCGTGTGGCTCCCCAAACGAGCGAAAGCCTTCAGCACAAAAGCACTCGTAACTGCCCTTTGTGTTCTTACAGTCCTGAGGGCACGTCCCGTACACTTCACACTCGTTCACATCTTTTACCAAAAGCAGAGGAAATTAAAAAAGAGAAAAAACACTCAAACTGTAATGTCAGTGTGTATTTAAATTGAGAGCATGACTGACAAATTGATGTGCAGATTACCTTCACACATGTGTTTCTCTGTCTCTCTGGGCTTGTAGCCGGACCTACAGGAGCAGAGGAGGCCTCCTTCCGTCAGGTCAGTACAGTTGTGTTCACAGATATTGTCACTGCACATGTGCCCACTGCCATGGTCTGACAACAGCAGATTAAAGAGAAAAGAAACACTGAAATTAACCTTCATGTAGAAACCTGCCTAGTACTTAAACCATCATGTAAGTTTATCCTCCAGGCAAAACAGTCATTGCCATGTGATCCTTTATATATATATATATATAAAGTATAAATATAGGATTGTGTTACTTATATGATTTATTTTTACTTACGGCAGCCGAGCTCATCTGACTGGTCTCCACAGTCATCATAATCATCACAGGCATACTGCAGAGGGATGCATTGTCCATTACTGCATTTGTACTCATCATCTGTACAGGGGCCATGAGTGGGGCTTTGGCCTGGATGGAGAGAAACATCAGCTCAAGAGAAGCAATTGATGCATTGAATCAGGTTTGAAAAAATAGAGTTTAAATTCCTTAGTTTGAGTAGATACATGTTAAACTAAGCAAAGTGGTCTATGTTATAAAAAGCATCACGTACAATTTTCTTGTCTCTCATCGGAGCCGTCACCACAGTCATCAACAGAGTTGCACAGCTCGTGGCTGTAGATGCAACGGTTGTTTTCGCAGCGGAAACGGAACGGAGTCTCACACTGGATGTCCACTGCGGACGAACAGAAACAGCAGGTCTGATTACAGCCACTTCAATGGATCAATAAATACTGATTCTTTTATGTGATTCTGGGTTTGTCTGCTTCACACAATGTGACATGCTGTGGTTTCATGTCTGCTGCACTTTTGAGTGTTTGTGTTGACTTACAGCAGAGGTGTAGCTCCTCATCTGAATTGTCTCCACAGTCGTTGTCTCCATCACATTTCCACTGAGGCTGGACACACACATGGTTCTTGCACTCAAACAGGAATGAGGGGCAGTATGTGCCATCGGGAAAGCGTGTCGCTGAAAGTCAAAGCCATTCGATCGAATTCAATTTGTGACTTATGCAGCTGAAAATCAACACAGTCATCAATCCAAGTGAGTATTATTAAAAATACACGTATGTAGACCATTAGATGTGGGACACTCACGACATGACGTCTCATCCGTATAGTCCAGACAGTCTGCGTTTCCATCACATTTAAAACGCTCAGCGATACAGTGTCCGCTACCACACTGGAAGTAGCCGGGATGACAATCTCGCAGCTCTGCAGCAAAGACAAATCAAATCACTTCTTCAGATAAAAGTAAACTCACCCAAGAGGGATGCACTAGATTTGTCTTTGTAATTACAAAAAAGATACATTTTACAAGTTGAACTCTAAGAATAATATATAAGAATATTGTCTTTATTTTCTACTTGGAAAATACTATTTCCTGTATGTCATGTTAAATAACACTTCTGCCCTGCACTCTACCAGCGCTGTATGGAAGAAATCCTTCCAGCTGTACAGGCGTGAATAAACTATTTGAATAAAGGACTCTCTGGTGGTCCCGTCTGTCTGCGCTATCCTTCAAATCTTGAAGTTTTATTGCTTCTTTGTTTCGTGCCGCACTCTGTTACTGACAAACAGCCAGGCCTCCAAAATCAAAACAAAGACCCTCCACTTACCACAGTCCCTTTCATCTGAGTTGTCCTCACAGTCGTTGTCATGGTCACAGACCCAACGGTCGGGAATGCAGCGCAGATTATCACAACGAAACTCACTCTCTGTGCACACGCGCGGAGCTAAGGGGAAAACATGAAAACAGAAATCTCAGTGTGGAATCGAGCAAAATGTAGAACTGCATCATTATGATGTAACTACCCATATTAAAAACAAACTGAAAGCCACTCAGTAGAGTTCTTACCTCTGCCAAGGACAAACAGTGCCCATGAAAACATGTTTAAATTCACTAGATCTGGATTTTTTGGGGGCTCTGCACCAAATTGCACACAAGCAGAAATATCACTCGTCTAAATAAGTCAGATTATTTTCATCAAGATCCATAAATTAATGTCTATAACAAATGTTAAAAAATGCCTCTGTCTCACAATGTTAAAGAATGTGAAACTAAAAGTCCTGGTTCCGCCCCCTGAACCAGATGAGCACCACAATTGTGGTTTCTTGCTCCGCCCCTCCAAATTTCATGGAAATCAGTTGAGTTGTTTTTTGCTTAATCCTGCTCACTAACAAACAAACAAACAAATGCAGAGGAAAACATAAACCTCTGTGGAGGAGGTAATTAATCAAGCAAACGCCTAAAGCCTGAAGTCACGTTTCATCGTATTTCTCACACTTCTAAGTATACATCAAGAATGACCTGTTTTATTTTCTTCCATAATTTGACATAACGCACCCCACTAATCCAAAAGCAGCGTGTGCAGCTGTTACTCTACAGTGAGCTCATGAGTTCACAGGAGATAAACTCTCACGGTATCACCAGCGCTGCAACAAGGGGAGCTGCACCTCTGCAATTTAACCCTCGTCACAGTTTCGCCTATGTTCCTCTTATTAACTGGCATGTAGGCCGACATGTTTAAATTCTCCAGGGCAAAGGGTGACACACTCCCTCACCCTCTTCCCGACACACTGAAGACAGCCTGTTTCTTCAGCAGCTGATAAGACCACGTCTCTCAGCACTCCGCTGTTGGAAGAAGTGTCGAGCCTCTTACAAAACCATGTCTGATGAAATGATAGCAGGAGTATTCTTTGTCATCAACACCCCCTTTTGATGTGGACATTTTTTTGAAACTGAGCAGAACTCCATATTAAACCTAACAGTGTACAATCTACCAAACACGTACACTGATATTCACTCTTTTAAGTGCCGAACCCTCAAACGTGAACGCTACAACTTGGTCAGGGAGGATAAATTACTCACTGCAGCTCTGTTCATCTGAATTGTCCCCGCAGTCGTCATCCCCATCACACTTCCATCTCAGTGGGATGCAGCGGTTGTTGTCACAGCGGAAGTCTCCGTTAGGATCACAGGTCACTTCATCTGGGGAAGGAGAAGGCACATGAATGAAGACGCTCTTCTACAACATTATGCACATCTAAATAATGAGGAAAGAAACTTGACCCAGAGAACATGGACAACATTTTTTCCCACCGGACCTTTTTAACTTCTAACCTTAGGTTAACACCACACCAAACAGGATCTTCCCTGACCCATACCTCATCCTTCTGCCAAATGTTTGAGTTAACCATCCAGCAGTTTCTTTGTGCAGGGGAAAAAATGAATGGAAGAAGACAACAGCCACCAAATCTGATAGAGTTTGAATCGTTGTTTGGAGAATTTCATATTTTCAGTATTTTCTTGAAATTTTCATTACAGTCACAATGTTCAGTTGATGTTGTGATGTTTGTAAGCTGTTGTTGTTTGTGGTGCTGTTGAACTTTATTGTGTAAGAGGTTTCTAATATCTAAACTAACCTCAGTGCTTATAAATTATATTAAAAAATAAATACATGTTTTATATTATAAAAGAAATGCCTCTCAGTGTAACACAGGACAGTTCAACAGCATCAAAATGGTCATAAATAATGTTCAAAACAGAACATTATAATTTATATGATAGTAAGAGGAAAATATATATTGTGCATTATGATAATTTATAATGTTTTAAATGTTTTCTTACTTTAACTATTCACACATAAATAATTTATATAGTGAAAATGAAATCACTGTTTTGTATTATGAGCAGTCTGAGATGGGGAAAGGCGAGAAGCTGCAGCGGATAAACATATCAATTAGAGCAACAACTTCACATTTTGACAGGACATTTTCAGACCATGAAAATGTCAGTTTGAAAAGAAAAGCATCTTGTTTTTTTAATTAAAGCGCAAAAGTGATGAAGGGAGGAGAGCAGCATGCCTGAGACAGATGGGTGACCTCTCCCCATGCCAGTACGTGTCTGTGGAGGATAAGACTACAGGAGATGAGAAGCACAGAAGGGAGAGGAGTGGAGGAGAGCTGGTCTGAGCTGTCTCTACCACACAGTGCTGGGGGTCAAAGATAGCACAAAGTTAGCTAGTCCTGCCCTGCTTGCCCTCCACCTGGCCCATCTGCTACATTCTTACAGGAAGATTAGCGCGGATCTCCCCTCCTGCGCGGGCATGGCACTAATGGAGTGAGAGCCTCTGATAAGAGACGGGAGGGCCGCGGTGAGTGTGTTTGGATTGCAGCAAATTACAAAGAGGCTTGTGTGAACCCTGCCCCCACGCAAGGACAGAGCAACAACACACATATACACGCATGTACGTGGACCCCTTCCACCGGACAGCTCATAAATCTGTGGTGCTCTCAGGGAGAGGCAAATTGTGGGGGAGGATGAGTGGTGAGACCCTCTCCATCAGCATCTCCCACTACCTCACTGTGTAATGTTCCACAGGAGGCTGAGGAGTTGGCTAATTGCCCCTTCACTCACTGCTTGAAATCATACTCCTGTTTCCGAAGTGTCATTTTTTGAATCCTCTCCAGAATCACCTTACCATCGGAAAACAGCGAATGTGACTTCATCTACTTTAACATAAGCTAGAATAGTGCTAGAATAATAAACCACAAATTAGTAAGTCTTCAAATAACTCTGACAATGAGAGCAGGAGTTCAGTTCTGTCTCTGAGTGGTTGTCACAGACTCACCACAGCCATGCTCATCGCTGTTGTCTCTGCAGTCGTTGTAGCCGTTGCAGACGGACCACATGGGCACACAGCGGTAGTTGGTCACGCAGTTAAACTCTGTGTGGTTGTCACATCGATATGTCGGACCCACTGTGGAGAAACACCAAGATTGTCATATAGACGATTAATGAAGATATAGGATAATACATTGAGTTTCATACCTTCATATATAGTTAAATGTCTATAGCTGCGGCTGATTCAAGGTGCTTCTTCATCTGGATTAAAGGTATGACTCAAAAGTCACTTCATTGAGATATCAGGACATACATCACTTTGAAATGTTAGTCCTTTTAAGATTAAAGTTAGAGAGAGAAAGTGTATATTACTTACTGCACTCCTCTAATGGTTCATCAGAGTTGTCACCACAGTCGTTATCGACATCACATTTCCAGCTCTGAGGGATACAGCGTCCGTTACGGCACTTGAACTGTCCGGGGCGACAGGTCCTTGTGGAGCAGTGGGTGGGGTCCTCGTCCGATTGATCACCACAGTCATCCTCTCCGTCACACTGCCACGACTCTGGGATACACTGCTTATTTGCACATTGCCACTGGTGGGTTTCACACTGGTGCGTAGCTAAAGGGAAGAAATGTGGGAAATTACTAAAAGTAAAACAGTAGAAGCAAACATGAAATAACACATAATATTTACAAGAACACAACCTACCACACAGTACAGGGTCTTCATCTGAGCCATCATGACAGTCCTGGTTGTTGTTGCAGAGGAAGTGAGGACTTGTGCAGTTTCCATCGTTGCACTGAAACTGTCCGAGCCGGCAGTGGCGAGCTGGGCAGGTAGAGGGCTCATCAGAGCCGTCTCTGCAGTCCCTCTGACCATCACACTTCCACCAGATAGGAATACAACTATTTAAGCAGACGTACAGATAAAAAGGAGAGATTTAGATTGTGTAAAAAATTGGTTGACTTATATAAAGCAGAGCATGTTACATGAATTAAGAGTATAAAACTATCTCAAAACATGGTTAAACCCATTAAAGAAGATCTAAATCCTCTAGTGGACCATGTTCACATTTTGTGCCACCAAACGATAATTTTTAGACAATTTACAGCACAAACAACAGGTGGCGCAGTTTTTCCAATGCAAAGTTCTCTCTTTGCATTGTGATGGACATTATCAAGTTAACAGTTTGTCAGCTGTTCTCAGCAAATGAAAAGTGCTAATAGCTAGAAATGTGTGCTTAATTTTGACTAATGACACAAACAAAACCACCATCAATGAGACATCAGCAGTCACGCTTCACAAAAAAAGTATTTTAAAACGCAACATATCAAATAATTAAGATGACAAGATTCTTAACAAACCGTTCGTTGTTAGCACATCTGTACTGGGTGCTGGTGCACATGGGAAGGCATTGGGTCAGGTCGCCAATTTGGATGGTCACGAAATGATCGGGGCATTCGCAAGTGTGTTCTCGCCCTCCATGACGAATCAGGCACAGGTGAGAGCAGCCACCATTGTTCACTGCACAGGGATTGTTGACTGTCAGGGGGAGAGAAATCTCAGTTCAGATCAACTGGGCAAATACAGGGCAGGCATTGTTCAGATTGTTAGTAAATCCCTTTGCTTAATTTAACCACAAGTGTAGATAACTAAAGGATATGTCAAGATAATAAACAGTTTTAACTACCTCACCATCAAAGTCTTTTGGAAATAAAATTCAGAGATTTTGAACTCACCGATCGGCTGTCTGTAAGGATGGCAAACGTGAATGTCAAACGGCCTGTGTGTGGTGTTCACCAGGGCCTCACGACCCGAGCCGTCGTACTTGTTGCCTTTCTCCACAGTACGCAAGTTCCAGTCCGTCCAGTAGACAGTGTCCTCGAATACAGTCAGGGCGAATGGATGAGGCAAATTACCATCGTACACTGTGTGTCTGTGTTTACCATCCAAGTCAGAGAACCTGAGGGGGACAAAAAGGTCAAAGGGTCACAGGTCTCGCTGCGCTGCAGGCTGAAAGAGTGTGACCACTTCCTGACAAATGCACTTACTCGATGTAATTGAGATGAGCATCAGACCAGTAGAGCATGTCGTTTGTGTAGTCGATCGTGATGCCGTTTGGCCACTCGATCTTGGTGGTAATGATGGCTGCTTTGTTGAGTCCATCCATTCCAACACGGCCAATAAAGGCTTTGTTTCCCCAGTCTGTCCAGAACACGTATCTAACAGCGATGCAAGAAAATCACTTAAGATCATATTTCTACATACAACAGATAGGAATATGGAATCTTTCCTTATAACTAAATATTACAAATAATAACATCAGAATAGGAATAACACTTTAATTCAAAGGTCTGTAATTTCTTAATAATTTACTAGAAAATTACTATGTAATCGTTGAATAATTTTTGGTTATATACTGTTTGTCTTCAGTTGGTACATTCGGAGTTAATTCTTTTCTGGCAAATTACTAGCTTGACCTAAAAATACTTAGTCCTACTCAGTTAACATCAGGTCAGCAAGACAAGTAAAAATGTGAAAAAAATAATTTGAGGAATGTCATTCCAATAATAGATGATTGAATAATATGGGACTTGGATTTAAATGGAGCAGGATTTTTTTTCAAGGAAATACCTCAGGAAATTAACTGCTGCTCGTAAACTTACAAAATCTGACCTAAAATAAGAATCTTTGAACAGTCCTTCTGTTCTTCTAAAAATTAGTTATTAAATGAAATTAAAATGTATTTCCAACTTCTCTAAACTGAGTAATTATTACAAATCGTCACCTTAAAATAAAGTGTTACAAATACACAGAAAAGTCAGAATAAGGTCAAATTATGTAGAATAATTCTACCTATGATACTGCATATTATTTCTGTGATTTACTGATCTAAATGTCTCCCAATATATGCTCATATTAAAATATTATGATAAGAGCATGATGGCAAGTACAGCAGCCAAACACAGCCAGTATATTATTCACTCTGCTATGAGATGCAATTCCTACTCACCCATATTTTGGATGCAACACAATGCCTCTGGGGTTTTCAAAGCAGTAGGTATTATTGGCATCGACACAGTGTTCAGCCAGTTTCTTTACAAATCGACCATCTAGTTCTGACACTTTGAGACAATCCAAGAAGCCGTCCACCCAGTAGAGTTTCCTTGCTACCCAGTCGACCGCAAGGCCCTCGCCATGTAGAACTCCATTGACCACCACCTCTCTGTTGCTGCCGTTGAAGAACATCCTCTCTACGATTCTGCGGCTCACGTCAATCCAATAGAGGCGCTTGTCGACTCGATCAAAGTCCAACGCCACCACACCGGTCAAGCCCTGCAGGATCAGAGAGTAGGCCTGTCCATCTGTAGACAGGTTCCTCAGGTAATAGCGGTTGCTGAAGATGAGGTAAGGTGAGATATTGCTGTTCTGGCGGCAGCTGTGGCCGTCGGGCTCTCGCAGGTATCCTGGGGCGCATTTACACACGTATGAACCGACGGTGTTCTCGCAGACCTGGCTGCACACACTCGGTGTCTCTTCACACTCGTTAACATCATCACACGTTTTGCCATCGGACATGAGGTGGTAGCCCGGACGACAGGTGCAGATGAAGCTGGTCGGCGTGTCAGTGCAATTTTGGTCGCAGTGATGGATGGATGGGTCTGTGCATTCATTGACACCTTCAGTGAGAGAAGAGCCACAGAGTCACTAAAAGTAATTAGCAAAGACGGAACGTTTTCAGCCCAATATTCAAGAAGATAAAGAAGAAATGTGGAAAGTTGAATTATCT